ACTCTGGTACTGAACAGTTCTGACGTTAAACTGGTACTGAACAGTTCTGACGTTAAACTCTGGTACTGAACAGTTCTAACATTAAACTCTGGTACTGAACAGTTCTGACGTTAAACTCTGGTACTGAACAGTTATAACGTTAAACTCTGGTACTGTTCTGGTTCATGGTGCTGGACAGTGGACAGCAACAGTTTGTAGACAGTGAGGAGTTAAATGTGGGTCACACACTGAGACGGTCCCAGAGCCGGCTGGAGCCAGACCACGAGTCCCGGCTGATATTTTTACCTGACCAGTCCCCGCTGCCTCCAGACCAGTGGATCCAGTTACAGCCCCAATCCTGTTCTCACCATGGCAGACAGGGCCTCCCAGCCACACCTCCAGGGCCTGCCGGGTGCGCCCTCGACGGTTAGCCCGAAACTTGATTCTGACTGCAGAACAAACACATGCTGATAAAGAGAGTTATTGTGTTAGAGTGGAGAACAGATGGAGAACAACTGACTGACAATGGACAGGAACTGGTGGGTCTGTGGTACTGATGGGTCTGTGGTACTGGTGGGTCTGTGATACTGGTCTGTGGTACTGGTGGGTCAGTGGTCAGCAGCTGTATGTAAACACACACCTCCTCCCTCGTTACCTTCTGGACTAATGAACCCTGAACTAACCTTCTCTCAGCTGTACGGTGTTGGAAGTTAGAGCTGGGTGATATGGCCTAAAATTACTTAATACTAATACTTGTTAACTGGTTTTATTTTTTAAAAACAAAGTACAGAAGATATCATTCTTTGTTAGCTGTGTGTTATTTGTTTTGGTTTGTATTGTTTGTCTTTAATAATGATTCCAGCTGAAACAGGGGAGGACTCTGAATGAGCCTTTCAGGCTTCCTTCCTCTCCTGCACTGTAATCTTATGACCCTAACCCTAACCTTTTTTTTTATTTGTAGTATTTTTCTAATAAATAAACGTAGCTAAACTAAACCGGGGATATAAAACTCCACCGCATCTGTAATGTGGAATCACTGCAGCCTCGCCTTCTCATTAGGACACTGTGGGAAAAAGTGAAGCTACAAGCTGTTAAAGTCGTTGTCCGTTTCCTCTCAGGACTCTGAATCTTTGGACCGGTGCATCCAGACTGCTCTGTCAGCCCTCTACCCTCCCTTCCAGGCCACATCCCCGACTATCCTCTGTCAGGTCCTCAACGTGGTGGAGAGCTGCTACAGAGGAGACGGTCTTCGCTACCTAATCCACTTCCTGTTGCCTGTAAAGCAATTCTTGGCGAACCTCCAGCAAGATGCCTGTGTGAGTATTCCTGGACCTGTCTGATTGTGGTGTCTAGTGCCCTACCTGTAGGGGCTATCAAGTTTAAGTTCACCCTGTTGTTAGGGGCTAGGGGCTAACGTCCAGTCTTTAGGGCCTGTTGTC